ACCAGAAGCGATTCGGCGGTACCCACACGTACGCTGGCCACAACCGTCGTGCCTTCACGCAGACCCACCGCCTAACTTCAGGTTTACAGCCTGCAGCCACTCCCAAGCCCTGGTGAACCCGAGCCGCGCGCGCCGTAAACTGAGTAACTGCGCCGGACCGTGCAAGCGCGCCACGCCGCTCAAGAGCGAACTCACTCGAGCAAGGAGGGAAGGCCTCGGGAGCAGAAGATTGCTTTTCCTTTTCCAACAGCACAGCTCTCCCACCGGTACCACCCATTTATCTGCACAAGAGGATCCTTCCACCGTTCCCTTCACCGGTCGTTTAACCTGACAGATCTTGTTTGGGTTTTTCCCGCAGCCGAAAGGAGAAAGCACAATTCTGGGCACGCAAAACTCACACCTTCCGCTTCTCCGGCTGAGAGTTCACAGCAGTACTTTGAGCCAAATTTCACGGTTTTACCACCAAAGAAAAAACAGCAGCAAGCACTAGGTGCACACCTGTTGTATAAATATATACATATGTGCATATATACATACATACACACACGTGGTGCTGCAATCCAAAGCCTACAGCGCGGGTTTGGACCTTGCTCCGCGAGCTCACCGAGTCCCGCTTTGGAGAGTACAGCGCGGTGAAAACTAGTCTAAGGAAAAAACCCAAATCAACGCGTTCCGTTACGCCTCTAGCGATGAGCGCATCAGCCGCACTTCCAACACCCCCACGTACCAGCCCGCACGAGTCCAAGTCATTCCAGAGGTGGCCCCTTGCCCTCCTCGCTACCGCTGGGTTCCCCTTCCTTCCTCCGAAGGGAAGCTGGAGCCGGCGAAGCCCAGCTCCGGCCGGAGGGGCCGGGGACAAGGGGCAGCTCGCAGGATTCAAGTAGATCGTTAAATTTTTGGAAGGGTACGACAAGCAACCGCTCGCAGACTGCAGGAGTACACCCACACGGCTGGCTGCGGGGGAAAGGGAGCAGAGAAGACAACAGCACTGGAGCACGGATGGCCATTTTATATAAGAGCTTCCTCTATACATATACATATATATATAAAAAACCACCAGAAATTCCCAGCATCTATCCTTTTAACAACAAAATCAACTGTGCATGGAACGTTGGCATTTGATTTCCAAACGAAGGTTTGTCTTCCAGATCTAGGGCATTCGGCTTGTGCAAATGTCACAGACAGACAGCTTCCCTCACGCAGTTTCTTCTTGCAGAGAAAGCATCTTCTTGGAAGGAAACGGGAATTTCAGCCTTGCCGAGTCCCAGCTAGCACGTCAGCCTCCCAGCGCAGGACGTGGAGCAGGCCACAGCTCTTGCAGGAACTTGAACACCGACAAAGTTCCTGCCACCTCGTTAGCTCTCAGTTACATTTCTTTCCAGATATTTTAAGCAGTTGTTGGTGTAATGACACACTACAAACTAGATGATTTCCACGATGATAAAGAGAAGCGGCATCAAATAATTAAGCATGTTAAGTTTATACCGACCTTACACTATAAACACTTGTACTGGGGGGGTTAGGTTTCAGTGCTCTAAGATTAATGTGTATTTAAACAGCATCCAGAATTATTAACACGAGGTGGGGGCTGCAGAAGCCTCCCTGACCACCTTGCAAGAGCCTCCTGTCAAACACGACGCCGATAGCCAGTTGCATCGGGTAGGAAAAACCTGCAGCACAAAGGCATTTCCTCAGTCGTCCGGGAACGTCAAGAACCGAAGGGCAGCGGCCAGACGAAGGGCACAAACCAGCGGAGAAAAGCGGGTTCCTCTCTCACGGAGCGCATACGGTACAAACGCTCTGATGTAACCCCCCCCAAAACACGCCGGTGTCCCTCTACGCCACACCACGCAACCGCTTTATAGACGGGACAGGAATATCTCTCCCCAGTCAGGCTCCCGCCCCGGTTACACCTGCGGTGTTTACAGCCTGACGCGAAGGGTGTTGAAAACTGTCCTCCCCCGACTACGGCACTGCCGCAGGACTCGGTGTTTCTCGGCACCGTGCTCGAGCCTTCCTCCGCAGCAGGCGTTGCTGTTCGGACTGCAGCCTGCGCTCACCCAAACCTCGAAGAGCATCACGTTTTGAGAACACTATGAGCACTAATATCTAAAGCAGTTTAAAAATATTACAAATCTGAAAATAAGACTAAAAAGGTAACATGGCTCTAAAACATCACTGCATGGAATCAGCAGAAATCTACACCCTATCAGACGCCGCTGAGGTTTACATAAACAAATTTATATACAGATAAATATTTAAGAATTTCCTACAAACGTCATTAACAAAATGAAACTGGCATTTAACGGGTGCAATGCCCCTTCGCTCACTTCAAGTGAAGCATTGTACTACAGTGCGTTGGGGATTTCCCCGTCCCCACCGCAGGTCCAGCACCAGCTCCTTCCCCAGCAGCTCTGCCGCGGCCAGGAGGGATGGTACCTGAGCACTCCCCGCAGCGAGGCGGCAGCTCTCCCCCTACTCACCCTAAGCTACGAACGGCTCTCCACACGACGCAACTCGGGAATGAAGTCAGTGGTCCTTAGCACCAGCCAGCGGAAGCTCTCCGGATCAGATTCTCCCCGATAACTCCTCCTCGTCGGGAGGAGCTACAAGTACTAAGAAAATTGGTGCCAAAGAGGTTCGGTGAGCTAGATGGAGGCGGGCGAACAACTGAAACGGAGGTCTCAGGCAACTTGTAAAAAAAATGATGTAACTTT